ATTTAGGGTTAGAGTTATTAGTAAAAGAGTTTAGGTGGATTTTGGTAGGACCTATATTTTCAAATTGAGACCCCAAATTTCACGATAATCCGCGACAATAACTTTTAAAGTTAACTAAAATAAATAAAACTAACACCTTGTTACTGATAATAGCCACTTCAGGATACTGAAAATGATTTTAAAATTTTCTCTCAACTTGCATTGGAAAACTTGAGATCAGATGATCATGTTAAGGTTATCGATGAATGGTATGTTTCAAACTTGTGAATTTCCATTGCCTTTATTTGAAATGTATTTTTATTTATTTGGTCGCAATATGATATACTGTATTACTGTATTTATTGAAAGCTTATTTTCAGGCTTGGTTATAAAACTAAAACCTATATAGTTTCAAAGAATCGAAGACGGTCTCTTGTCTGCCAAATTAAAACCTCTCTCTATAAAATAAATTCTTTTGAAGTCTGGATACAAGAGCACTTAACTATTATTACCCACGCTAAATATCTTGGCCAAATTTGTATGCAACGTCCTATTTTAATTGTCATTATTGGTATGAATGTTTTAAATTTATATCCTTATTTAAACTATCTGTTTTTATTATACAATATTAAGTTCATTTGAATATTAGGACTTTATCTAGCTTGTCTTATATTTTTGGGAGCAGGCATGTTGCTAAGATTGAAAGCTAGACGAGTAAGTAAAGCTGAATATAATTTAAATTCAATAAGCAGAAATTATATGAGGTTATAGAAAATTATAGTTCATTTTAGCATTTTTGTATAACTAAAAAGTTCAATGAAATGGCGAGAATTGGTTATGAAAATGGGGTTTCAACTTATTGAGCTTAAGAAAGCAGAACTAGCCATTCAAGTACACATGAAAAACGTATAAATGGAAATTAATGCGATATTTTATTATCTGAATGTTAGATTTATAGACCATAACTACAGTGTAACATTTTTAAAGAAATACCTCACAAATAAGAATGATTAAATTTCTTTTATACGTATATAAGCTAAGCTAATATATATAATGCTACCGAAAAAAACAGACATCCTCATATAGAACCATAAATGCGGATTCTGTGATTAGACAAATCTCTTCAATTGGAGTTTCGGAAATTTCTTCATTTGAAACCTCAAATTCTAAGATTTATAAGACTGAAGAAACCCCCAATACTAAGACTTATAAGACTAGAGAATCCTCAAATACTAAAATTTATAAGACTAAAATTACGGTATTATCAATGGATGATTCGGATTATCTCTCTGTTAAGAAATTTTTTCTCTCGGGACTTCCCGTTCATACTGTTCTTGGAATATTGAAAATGGATATGCCAACTAAGCTTGTAGAGGCTCATGAAAAGTATAAAAGACAGAATTATGGTATGCTGACTCATAGAATGTTCCATGGCACAAGATCTCTATGCGATCCCCAACGATTTATCACAAATCCACAAGCTGAATTTTGCAAATACGGTTGTGGTGTGTGCGGAATAATGCGAGAAGGTAACAAAACAACATATGCTTCTAATCGCCGTCGTAAGTACTCTTAGTTTTTTTTTGTATTTTCTTTATTTAATTTTATTAACGTTAATATTAATGTTAATGCATCTTTCTTAAGATATGTGGTTTGCCAACAGTTCATTAACATCATATAATTATTGCAACACATCATTTTTATATAGTCATATGAGTATATATAAAAATGTTACAAATGCAATGTTTGTTGTAGATGTCGTTGCTAGGTATTATGAATCGGTACTCATAGTTGAACGTGATGAGGTATGCATTCCATATTTTGCTTTACGGTTTAATATCTAATATTTTATATGCCACCACATTTTAATGATCTTGCGTTTAAATCAGGCCGCTATACCAAAATTTCTTATTATATTTCAATGAAAAAATAGATGTGCAACTTGGTATTGTAAGCTAGGTTGATGTAATCCATATAATCTGGAGAATTTTGGCTGAGTCTGTAGTATTTAATTTTTTCAGGATATGACTATATGAATTCCTCTTTAATTAAATGCTCTATCTCTTATGCATTTGTCTTATTGAAGTAGTGAAAATGTTGAATTTGTTCAACAAAAAAATTTATATACAGTATGTATATTCTATTAAGTTATATCTTTAAAATCTGGTGCATTGTGTAGTAGATATTTGGGGTGCGGACAATAGAAACAGCCCATTTTTACATTTTTTTGAAAATTGAGTTTTTATTAGGTTCATATAAATTTTGACATGATTAACATTTTTCAATTATAAATGAAAGTCGATTTGCATAATAAAAAATCAAGATAATGTAAAAGAAAAATTACACGAGGCTTCGTAGAGCCAACACATCACGAGGTTATCCGATAGTCACCTGCTACCTTTAGCCAATCAAAATCGTGAAATTTGATTAATCCCGAAAATCAAAACAAATGATTAAACTCAATTATCTCAAAATAAGGTAAATGTAAAAATGGGCTGTTTCTATTGTCCGCACCCCATTTAGTTAACTATGTAGCTTAAAACTATATGCGGTATCACATAAAATTTTATCACAATAAATAAGAAACTGAAATACATAAAGGAATTTAAAGCTACATGACTTTATTAGAAATAAATTGATAATTTATATATGCATAATACCTTGTTAGCTTGTAGTTTATCATTTAACGCTGCGTATAATTATAAAGGCAAAAACCTGCCTATTAATGCAAGAATATAAAATAGAAATTAGGTTTGTAATTCGTGCTCTTCGATTTTTGCTTAGGCGACTTGATTTGATTTTCTGATTGAAGTGTATGAATTTTCAAATAATGCGAAATATTTATTTAAACAAAATTAAAAATTTCCATACCTCATTTTCGAATTATTTAATTGTTTAATTCTTATTAGAAAAATTCATTGTAAATTCACTAGGTATTTTGTATCAGTGTTGGCCCATGACAAAGACATAATGGGTCATATCATTAAGTTCAATTAGTAAAATCATATGATCTTGTCATATGAGTTTACTAATTGAACTTAGTGATGTGACCCACTATGACCTTGTCATGGGGCCAACATTGTTTTGTATTATCAGGTGTTCTGCATTTAATAAATAAATAAGATTTCATCACATTAGAAATAGCAACAAAATGATGAATATATTAAATTAACTAATTATTTTTTTTTAATAACTAAATTGTTTTTGTATATTGTTATCCAGTCTTTAACGTTAGTTTTTTTGATTATTTTTATAAAGCTCGATGTTTTGTCTTGTGCATGAGTATACAAAGCTGAATTGTAATTTCGAATTATATAATGGCAATGTAGCACTATCATATTTATTATATATTGTTATAATTTCGGTGTCTACGTTACTGAAAATTAAAATGTATATAAGGACCATGAATTCAATAAACGAAAGGGGTGTTCCATGTCCACTTTTAATTACCACTAAATAATAAAGTATATACTTATCTGAATTTCCCTTGAGAATTTGTCTTTGAATTTGACTTGTAACTTTAATAAACCCTTTCGAGACTCAATTCGACGGACTGAATTAACTTGTAACTTCGATTTGGCTTATTAAGACTTGGATTCTAGAACGTTTGTGGAATCAGATATTGCCATTCACATTAATGACTTGCGAGAATTGTGGTAGAGAACGATACCTACGATTGGTTATTCGACCCTGTTAATCCATCACGTGGACTTAAAGTTATCCTCCTTAATGAGATATCCTTAACAACATCACCTATAGTTACATCATATTAAAACCTTCGTTTCATAGTGTCATATTGTCTAATAGACCTCCGACAGTTATACACGACTCCCTTCGTTTCTCCAAGTTTATATTATCTCCCCGTATACCTTGGAGTTAAATTGGCCTTTTGTCCATATTATTTTCATAAATTCTCCCATCAACGGTTACATTATATATTTATAAAGACTACCATCACTCGCATGCTGAAATACCATTATGTATTCATTTGTTTCTGTATTTTGAGTTATTCCATATGGGTAATTATTTTTGAACCCGGACCAATTTTATATATGACGTAATAGCATTTTGGTCTGGATCCAAAAATAATTACTCATATATTGCGAGCTTAGTATTATAATATTGTAATTTACATGTCATAAGGCTTTTAAACTTAGGGTTTAAATAATGATTTAGTTTAATAAATTATTAGATTAATTATGCAACCAATAATTAACTTACTCTCTTAAAAACTCATTGCTTTCATTAGAACTTGTCAATGTTTTGAGTGCAACGGTTTTAGATAGCCCGCGCGCTTTTACATCATTATAATCACTACCATCAACTTTTCGTATACCATCCAACCAAGTTGCTGAATATACAGAGCCGAATTCTCCTTCACCAAGTTTTTCAACATCAGATAATCTGTCAATCGGAATCCACTCAATCGCATATTCATATTTCCATGCTCTAAGTTGGAATTCCTTCATGCAACCATCAATATCCTTACTTTTACTTGTCCACCTTGTTACTATGTCAGGGTTACATGATGGACACCATGCTGGTTGCCATATTTAGAGTTGCTATGTAATATATAATATTTTATTTATCTACAAATGCTATTTTAATCTTATTTGAGTGCCTTCAAGAGAAAAATTGTCATCGGTTTTAATTATTAAATTTGGTATCGGACACAATCACTAATAAATCAGATAGATTGAATCCAGTACAAAATAAAATTGAAAGTCTGATGATAAGTTTTTCTTTGACGGCATTCATTTCGAATGTAATTACCGACTAAATTAATGCGAATGAAATGATTTGAAGGGTATTACAATAGTAAGGCCAGACCAAGTTGATTATGTGTTTTACATTACCCCCCTCTCCCCTCTAGAAGAGGGGGGG